ACACTTTGAAGCCAACTACCCATAGATATTTACTTTTGACTTGGTTTTCCATTATTTTCAACTTTTGTTGAAGAATGGCATTTTCTAATTATAGTAGAGATTTTTAAGATGGTTCAGTTCACGTCATATCACGTTGCATTGGAACGGCTTGCAAATTTACCTCTGCTTTTTCCACATTATCTTCCAGTTTTAAACCCATGGGGCAAATGCTTCAAGTTTACCTCACCACTCCCTTTACTGCCTTTAATAAGCTATAAAATAGTTTAAGATGAATCTCAAAAGACTTGTCAGGATTCTCCTGGTCCTCAGGCTCAGGGGTTCTCTGAGTTAAAGGCACTTACTGTGGTAAATAATCAGAGATCACCCTTCCCTTGAGCTGGGAATGATACAGAGAACTGGGGACAGTAAGACATTCTGGGCATAGACTATCCTGAGAACTTTATGCACCGAGTTTTGTTGAGAAACCCTCATAGGAGAAGAACAGGGCTTCACTGCCATCAGACTTGGGACTCGAACCCTTACACCCTGGTTTACTAGCATAGAGACGGTGAGCAAGAGACGTCACCTCTCTTGAGTCTCGGTTTCCTCACTGGTAGCACAGGGGAAAGAATGGTACTGCAGGTCCTTGAATAATGTTTCATTCCAGCTCATTTTGTTAGAACATTGATAAGATGCCATAGGAACTTAACTCTTGTTTTTGTCAATTAGCCTATGGTAAAATTTGTTTCATTATATGTTGTAGAACCTACTGATGATACTCACTGAGGAGTTACACCTACTTTAAGGGTTGTGGGCCCTCATGAGCTCATACCTGGCATATAATATCTCATATTTAATGAGTTCTTGCTGACCAAAGAATTGCAGGGTGGGGGCAGAATTACTTACCCCTGTCTCATCTGAAAGCAGCCCAGTAAGAAACTAGAACAAGAACTGGGATAAGTAGCAAAGAATGGCAGAGGGAGGTGATGATAAAAGTATTTTTTTTTAAGATTTTATTTATTTATTTTTAGAGAAGGGAAGGGCGGGAGAAAGAGAGGGAGAGAAACATCAATGTGTGGTTGTCTCTCGTGCACATCCTACTGAGGACCTGGCCCACAACTCAGCCATGTGCCCTGACTGGGAATTGAACTGGTGACCCACTGGTTCACAGACTGACACTCAATCCACCAAGCCACATCAGCCAGGGTGGAAAGAGTGTTTCAATCATTCCTTTTTTTTAAATCCTCCCCAAAGACACATTCTTATTGATTTCACAGAGAGACGAAGGGTGGGGGAAGAGAGAAATACCAATGTGAGAGAAACATTGATCAGTTGCCTCATGTACGTTCCCCCACCACAGACTGAACCCATAAGCTAGGTAAGTGTCCTGACCAGGGGTCAAACCCACAACTTTTTGGTGCACGGGATGACACTCCAACCAATTGAGCAACCTGGCCGGGGCGTAACAATTCTTTTTTCCGTTAATCTCTATTTCCTTTTCGCCACTGAATGGGACAGACTGAAGTTCGCTTGCACAAGTCTGTTCTGAGGACTTGCGCCCATCTGAAGCTCACCCTAAGACCTGCTGCCCTGCAAAATCAAGCACCCTCCTAGCAGGCAGGCGTCAAAGCCGTGGTGGGCACTGGAGCCCCGGTGGCCAGGCCCAGGTGCGGGCTGTCTGTGACCTGGGAGCCGCAGCCTCAGACAGGCACCATTAGTGTGTCTTCTTAACTTTCCTTCTAAAGTTATTCGAAGGGACTATGGTTTTGCCTTAAGCAAAACCCCCTTAACAGTCGGGAATCTAAAAACAAACATTATTTTATTAGGTTAGCCCAGCAGATGAAAGCAGAGTGTTCCATTTGGACTCTTTGGAGTCAATTAATGGCATTAGCTAAAAAGAAACCCATCTGAAAGAGAGTTCCCGCTGTCCTCAGCAGCTGCTGAAGGAGAGCTCGCCACTGTGCTCCCAAGGACACAGGCTGGGGGTGGGGGGCGGAGGGAGCGAGTTGTAATTCATTGATAAGAAAAACTATTTTAATGACACAGCTTGACCCTAATATAACACTGATCTCAAAGGATATGATTTTCTAAAGCTTTACTTTTAACCATGAGCAGGACACAAGTATCCTATAGTTAACAGGACAGTTCTTGATTTGAAGTAACCAACTCATCGAAACCAATTTTAAATAGCTACATTTATGACTTTTAAAGTAAGTGAAAAATATGTAAGACTGTGATTGTCTTCAGCTACGGTTTTAACTCAGCAGCAAAAAAAAAAAAGGCCTGTGAAGCAGAAAAATAAGAGATAGCTCATTGAAAAAGAAATTCTAAAACTCCATCCATCCATCCACCCACCCATATCCATCCGTCCTTCAGAATAATAACTAAGAGCCCACTAAGTTCCAGGCACTGTGGACGTAGCATCAAAGACACTGTCTGTCACGGCCTTCGTGGAGCCCAATCTGGGCTTTCAATCTGAAGAACGCCACCGTTTTAAAAGACAGAGGTGGCGATGCTTTTAGCTGCTTCAGACTTTTAAAATGAAGCCGTGAGCCCCTGCAGACTTCGTAACATCAAAAGGAGAGCTCTTTGGTGAGGGCTGGGTTATTCCCCAAAGGTAAAACAAAAGGCACTCGCCTCTGTGGGCAGCACGGTTTGTAGCAGGAACATTCCATTGTTCTTCCCAGGGAAGGTGCCTTTCAAAAATCTCTGGAAAAATCCACATCCTGAAAGCGTTTGATTACCCTGAATTTGAAATGAGACGTTGCTTGGCGGCAAAGATACAAATTCATCCCCACGAGTATGGCTTTTGTGGTAGAAGGCACGTGACTTTTAGAGAGGGTTTGTCTAGAAGGTTGATTTCCAGGGCCACGGGATGGGATTCCTCAACGTCCATGATCTGAGGTTTCCCTCCCTCTACCTGCAGAATTCCAGCGTGCCTTGCTGAATACCTAGCAGGAGGAGGTTACAAGCAGTTTCAAGCACAATTTGTTCTCGTTTTCATTCCCTGCTCACTGAGTTATGTGCCGTTAAACATTTCCAGAAGACTGTCAAAATGTAAGCATCCTGAGGTTTACAGAGGCCACACCATTAAATAACATGTAAGCACAAAATTTTAAACATTGTTTTCCAGCGATGGTAAATATTTTAGCTAAGTAAAAACTGAAGCTTGAAATGCAATAAGCATTTAAATGACTCCTTTCTGTGCCAGAGTTCTTATTTTCCCCAGTGCAACCCTGGGCTGCTGGGATTAAGGCGACTCTAGGGAGCTCAGCAAATGGTTGTGGGTTATGAGGTGTAGCATGAGCTTGGCGACAGCGTGCCACCCAGCCTCAAGAAACCCAGCCATGACTGGAACCCAAGAATCAGTGTGTTCACTCTGTGGCCAGCTTCACATTTTTTCCCCCCCGCCTTGCAAAAAAAAAAAAAAAAAGCTGCTACAAAAGTCAGGCCTCTCTCCCACCCCCTGAGCAATCAGGAGGTGGATGAAAGGCAGAGCTGAAAGACTCGCAGGGCTGGCAGAGCCCCTGGGGGGCCTCCCGCACCCCCACCCCCACCCCGGGTGGGCAGGCAAGCGTGTTGGCGTGACACATCTTTTAGTCCTTCAGCGTGAAGGAGGGAAGCGACCAGCAGCCACAGCGCTGGCGACGTACGGCGCTGTCACTTCAGGAAGAAGGAAAACCCAGAACAAATTTGACGTGGTTTTCACCGCAGGGTGATTGCAGTCCCGTTCAAGGGTGTCACAGTCACGCCACCCACAGAGCGGAACTCAGATGGAAATTAGACCTCCTTCAGAGTGTCTCAAGCCACTGCCTATCTCTGAACAGAATAAGCTAAGGTTTTAAAGAGACGCAGCCCTGTGGCCCTGGCTCCTTTGCCTTCCTCATACCTCTGGCTTCTCATTTGCTGGAGGATAGCCCTCAGCTGCAGGTAGGTCTCCCTGCAGGTGAAGCCGAGACCCTCCCCCACCCAATGCAACAGCCAAGCAGGCAGAGCAATGCACCGTTTCTGCGATCTGGGTCACTATTCACTGTTCGTATCATGAAAAACTGATCTTCTATAAAATTTCATGGAAGTGAAGAAAAGGGTTACAGAGATTTATATTCAGGGACTTTTCTCCCCACTCAGAACACCAAAGCTTGAGTGCTTTGTTACTGCCACACCACCGACATTTCTAAGACCTGTTTGGAGTTTTGTGACTTGTCTCTGAGATTAAAGTATGAATATCAATCACTTACCACATTCAGTGGGGCTTGCTGGAGGGGAGGGGAGGAGGGATTTTCTTTTGGTTTGGCTGAACCCGTTTGGGTACCATGGAGGGAGTCATGTATACATATGTGCTATTTCTGGGGAGGACAGCAAAGCTCACGTTCACTTAAAAAAAAACTGGATTTGTGGATAGCATTGACACTTTCCAGTTTTGAACAGTAACTGAATGTCAACCTATTGACCTACAGCAAGCCAGATACTGGGAAATGCCTGTCTCTCATGGAGGGGAACTTTCAAACTGACTCCCGATCGATTAATCAGGGCCTCTGCAGGAGGCAGACCGTAGTGTAAGAAGAGCCCTAAATTTTGTTCAGCATTCTTTCCCCAGATCATTAGAGCACTGGCCAAAAATGACCAAATGTCAGATACAGTGGTATAAAGTTTTGGTACGAGGAAGAGTCAGGGAAAATACAATTGCCATCGTTTCATACCAATTTTCGTGCCCAATTTCCAGTGAAACTTTCTATTACTTTAATTTTCAGGATAAGAAACTGCGGAAAGTGTGGCGCAGGGCATGGCTAGAACAGACGTGTCAGTGTGCTAGGCTCCTTGCTCATCGATGGCGAAACGTGGTTTGTCTTACTGGGAAAACGGCGCACTGGCGTACCGCCAGTGGGCGGGCACGTGGCCCCGAAGCACCAGGAGGATATAGCCATGCCAACCGGAATAAACACCCCCTCGGGACAAAGCATTTGGAGTCCAATAATGGTCATTATTTACCATGTGACATACAAAAAAAGGAAAAATTTCAATAGCTTTAAAAATAGTTTATTTCCTTCTTCACCAGCACACAAGCCTTCTCTTCTGACCATTATGCAAGGCCCCACAAATTAAATAAAAACTTACAGTAGAGTATATGTGTCTTACATGATTCAAGATAAAGTGGATTTTAAATCAATTGGGTGCCAACTGCGAGGGGCCCAGGACAGGCACCAATGGGGGCGTGCACTTTTCTAGTGTTCGTTGCGACAGGCAGTAACCAGCACGTGCGCAGCCTACGAGAGGCCACCCAGCGTTCGCATGCCCAGAAGTGGGGCTCAGCTCATGGCTTCTCTTTGTAGTAAAACGCCAAGTGGGGTTCCCTAAAGGACAAAGCCTTCTCACTAGTAGTCTTGGTATCAGTAACATAATGCGATTATTAAATATCTTCAATATGGTTTTCATTACCAAAAAAACAAAACAACTGTATTTCCAATAAAAGCTTTATAATATAATCCAGAAGCAGAATTAGTGCACATTTAAAATCTGAAGCCAGGCTAAGCTGGCTATTTCTGACCCTTTTCCTGGCTTCCAGTTTCTTACCAGTTTACAGGCCCACGGAACACTGAGTACCTCTCGGTAGCCTCTGTGGGACTGCGACCCCAATCCAAGGAGAGAAGCTCTACTTTCTGTGCAGCTTTGCTCTTTCTCCCAAATCATGGGTGTTGACCAAAAAAATCCCAGCAAATGTCAGGTACAAACAGAGGTTTGTAAGCAGATGCCCACAGAGATTATGAATAATTTTACAGTGATCTGGTAAAGAAAACACAGAGCAAATGAATGATTTCCCCTTATAAAAAAGCCTGGACTTGAATCTGAACAAGAGATGGACCTGAAAGGAATGAAATATTGCTTCAGTCCGAGACGGGGTATTCTTTACCCGTGTAACGCCAGAGCCGTGGCAACGTCCCAAGGTCGGCCCTCCTAGGAGCCGACACGAGTGACTTGTGAGGTAGGTGCTGATGGCTTGAAGAGAGGTAAGTAGAGTCCAAATTTGTTTTCAATCCCTGCAAACGTTGCAACTGCCAGTTTGTAGCCCCCAACGTGATCGGGATTGGGAGCGGGCAGCGTGATCCGGGATTTGGGAACTGGCTCCGATCCCACGGGTTTCCTAAGAGGGAAAATAGAGTGAGAATCCGAGTTTGGTTTTGTTATTATTATTTTTTAACTTGTTAAAAACGACCTTCAAAAACCGAATGTCTGCCCCATAAAGCAGTTGTGGACTTTCCAGTTAGTTGTACGTTCCCCTTGGAAGTGGGTCTGAAGACATGACTTCACCACTTTCCTATGCCTTCTCAGTTTCCTCACAGGGCACAGGCTGGTGGACCTTTCTCCAGGATGGCTGAGCGTTAGAAGCAGCTGAAATTCAGGGGCACACCCAGCACGGTGATACTTACGTTCCTCCGAAATCGACGTAGAACCAGCGTTGCAGCAATTCATATGTCAGCAGAGTCACACCAAACTGGGGTGAGGATCGAAACACACGGGCTTGAAGAAAAAGTGGGAAATGTCAGACGTAATTAGATTTTAAAACTTCACCTGAATCCAAAGGTTTAGTTAAGGATGGATTATTTCCATACCGCCAGCTCCTTTCCACAGAGCTTTTGGGCCTTCCTCCCGCAGTATCTTCCTGAAGCAGTCCATCACGCCGCTGTAAGTGGTTTGGCCGGCCCTGGCGGCCACCTGTAATCGAGTCTTGATAACATCAGCAGGGGTCACTAACGATGCTGCCGGCATACCTGCAGGAAAGACAACACCATCAGTGTGCTCACATTCTCACTATATAAAAATAACTGTGCTTTGAACTGCTGGCCCGTGGAAAGAAAGTTAAGCATCCCAGGAAATCAAATGCCTATTGCACTGTCCCCTCTGGGAAGCACAGCCCTGAGGATCTCGTCTGCGGCGCCGCAGGCTCCCACCCACCTACCGACGCTGCCCCCGTCTCCTCCCCCAAGTCCCGTCCGCTTGTTAGGCTTCTGTTCTTAAATAGCTGTAAGGAATTATTTATCAATAACACATTTCAAGTGGCTGAGGATAAACAGAGAAAGTCTTTGGTTCTTTTTAAATTCATTTTTGCTTTCCTTTTGAAATCAGAAACTCGCCGAGTTATTAGGTCCGATTTTTCAGAGGTGAAGCTTGTTATGCGTTTCCTCTTCTTGTTATGCTTTTCTGTGGCTGTTGGCAGTCACAGGAGGTGCCTTCTTGCACACGTTCAACCACCCCTATCCTCCAGACCCTAACCTCTAAAGTTACACCAGAAGAAGACTTTCCTGATAGCTAAACAAACACGGTGTGCGCGTGCATCTGTGTGTGTGGCGTGGGGGGAGTTGGAAGGGGGGTCACCAGAGGAGGAGACTTGCACAGATAACACTTCAGGGTTCCTTTTTCATACACTGTCGTCTCCAGAAAAAATATTTGACAGAAAGCTTAAAATTTATACTGGCGGGTCATCAATGAAAAAGGAACAACAACAACAACAAAACTCTCCCAAAATTACCAATGGGAAATTTTTCTACAGTCGTTTTATCCAAAATGGGACAGCCCATGTTTAGATTTTTTAAAAGCGAGACTGTACTCAGAAGACACTGTCTCTTCTGGTTTTATTACTTTTCCATTATGAACCCATTCCAAACCAAATTGGTCAAATGCAGATGCATAAATCTCCTTTGCTTTTTTTAAGGCTTAATAATTCTGTAAGAATTTCTGTCCAAACCAACGTGGTCTGGCTCGCAGCGACATCTCATCCTTCTAACAGACAGCTTTAAAGTTCCAGTGTGTGCATGTGTGTCTGGGGAAAAGCGCAGAGCACACGTTTGCATTTTTATTCCTGAGCTGGACCTCTTCCTCTTCCATCTTGACTGAGCTCCTCCAGCATTCATCTTAATAACGGTTTTTATAAAATGCATCACGTTTTTGCACGTGAAAAAGCTCACTTTCTGCCCAGTGCTTCACTGGCTAGAAATGCTTATCAGTCATCCTAAATTTCCTATTAGCTTGGAGGAATTATTTTAACTTTGAGCCAGAAATTTACCCTCCAATGTAATGGAAGGAAACATGAAAAATGCTGAGAGACCCAGTGTTCACACCACTGACTTTGCTTCACTTCCGGGTGTGGAAAGAGGTGACAGCAAGGCCGTCTGTTTATCTGACATCCGACAAAGGCCTCCGGACGACAGTGGGCAGGCATGTCAGAGTGTGACGGCGAAACACACGCAAGCAGTAAAGCGGGTGGTTTTCACAAACAGTTCCTCATTGTGGAAAAGAAGAGACGCATAGGGGGAGTGGAGGGAAGACACTGATCAGTGGGGTAAAAACGCCCAAAGAAACGTAAGAAGTTTGGGAAGCTGCCTGGCAAAACTGATGTGTGTGTGTGTGTGTGTGTGTTGGGGGCCCAGGGCTGCCAAGAATACGGAGCCTGCGAGGCCCCATCCTCGCCACCCCCGGCTCCCACCTGTCAGACCAGGCAGAGAGCTGCGAGGGCCTCAGGGAAGCATGGATCTCTGTGGACAGGCAACTCCTGGGAACCTGGGGAACAGCAGCGGGCTGCTGCAAAGCAAGGCTGGGGAAGGCTCGGAGGGGATTTGCCCAGTCTGTCCTGGCATCTAAAAGGCTAACCCGACACTGATTAAGAGGTTAAGTTTTCTCTTTTCCCAAAGATGAGGGCTTGCAAGAGGAGGATAGGAAATAGAGGCTTCTTCCAACTTCCTCAACAGGGAGGGGCCCGGCAGCCTACCTATCTGGTGGTTCAGTGATAGACAAATGGTGAGAATGTTACCTGGGTGACAGGAACAATTTGGGGTGCTCTCTAGCCAATAAAAAATTCTAACTTTTAAAGGGCCCCAGCAACTAGAAAGTAAAAGTTCATTTACAACTGAGTGGAAGCAGGACGAGCCAAAGACATCTTCGGGGCCAGTCATCCTTAATTTTCACAACTATCCCCTTAGTGTATGTAAAGGACATACTTCTCTGTTGATGGCAGGGTGTCAGACTCATTTTCACTGGGGCCACATCAGTCTCGCCGTTGCCTTCAAAGGGCCGAATGTAATTTTAGGACTGTATAAATGTAACCAGTCCTCAACAGTTAAGCGAGAGCTGGGCGCTGCCGCTGGGCAGAGACAAGGTGGTGGGCAAGATAAAACAAAGGTGGTGGGGGGCCAGATTTGGCCCGCAGGCCTTGGGTTTGCCACCTGTGGTTTATGGCACACAGAGTTAGTATCTATTTATTTTGGATCAAGGCTAAGAGTTTTAAAAACTCCCTTTGCACCCTTATCTAAAGTATCTACTTGTATAGGTTTCTAAGAGAAGTGTGAAGATTCTTATTTGGAATGAGAAAATATTATGTCCTTGTCATACTTTTAAGTTGAACTTCTATGTTATGTTGATAGTACACAGAGGACAATGTCAGTGAACTTCATCTTTTGTAAGTGTAAAACATGCTTCTGTACTCTGAATGCTATTTTTATTCCCTGATTTCCATTGAGTCTGACACTGATATTGCTAACCTTGCTTATTGTTGGTATTTGCCCAGTACATAGTTTTCAATCCATTTTCTTTCGATTTTTCCATGTCACTGTTTTCTCAAACTGCAGGTAAGTAGCTTTCCTCTCACGACTCATCAGAGAGTGCGTTTTTACCAGGGGCATTGACTCCGCTCAACTGTGGCTGTTACTGTGATTAACAGACTGATTTCTGCCATCCTATATTATGGTTTTTATTTTCTCTGCTTTTGTTTCCCTTTGGATTCTCCCCTTTCCTGAAGAATGAATTCCAGGCATTGTATGCATTTACTACGCAGGTGTACTGTTTGCAATGTCTACAATTCATTAGCGTTTCCACCCTTCACCGGCAAGGAGGACTTCAGCACGCTTCCAGTTTTGTGTCCCCTGTACGTGCCTCCCAAAGCCCCTTCTTGTATAAACACCTATGTGCCAGAGTTAGCAGCTATTTAGACCTATCCTCAGGTTTAACTTCATTTGCTCTGTCTTATATCTCACATTTTCTTCTTTCTTAAATTCACTTTCCATTTTGACTTGGGGAGGTCTGTGAAAGGTACCCTTTGAGTCCTGGCATGGAGAAACAATCTCGAATTTGGCCCTTGCTCCTGAATGCTAGTGTGCTGGGCATGTAACTGGGGTTCACGCCACTCTCCCCTGGCACTTTGAAGGTGCCCAGGACCGAAGGTGAGAAGTCAGTCCTCTTCTACTGAGCCCTGTGCTGACTTCCCCCCTTATTTCTTCTCCTTAGGGAAAGTCTATGAAGTGAATGTTACAGTTCCTGGATTAATCCTACATGTCTCAAACTTTCTCATATTTTTCTCATCTCTGTATTTTCTGCTCTACATTTTAAAGTGTTCCTTTTCTTTTCTTTTTTTTTCCATGAGTTTATTTTCTAGATGCCTAATTTGGTCTTTGATCATATCCATTCTATCATTCAGACCATCTACAGATTTTTAATTTTGGCAATCCTATTATTAGTTTTCAAGAAAGCTTCTTCACTGATCATTCCTTTAAAATCTCTCTGAAGATCTTAATTATAGTTGTTAAAAGTGCTCCTCTGTTCCCTGAATTGCCCATTTTCTCTATAATTCTGTTTACTTGCCTTACTGCTCAGTCTTGTCTGAGGACCTCTGTCTGTCTATTGATATTCAAGTTCAAAGGACAGGCTGATTAGTGCTGTGGATGGCTTCTACCCTACCCTAGGCCACTGTCACCCGCAGGCCTCTCTCCTGACTGGGAGGCCCCTCTACCCTCTACGGGCTGTGTGACATGGGTGAGGCCTGCTAACTGGGTGCAAGGGGCTGAGTCAGCTGGTGGAGTGGGGATCAGCTGAAAGTAGAGTGCTGTGCTCTGGAAGTAGAGGAATTAATTTCCACCCTTCTTGGGAAGAGTGGCCATGAGTCTGTGCCCGCCCCACTGCATCTGTGGTAAAGGTCTGAAATTATCCTAAGCCTTGCTTGCCTTGCTTTCTTTTAGCCCCTTACAACTGCCCCCTCCTAGCAAGTGATCCTTCTTGAGAAACAGCCCAGCCTTCGAGCCTGGATCCAAGTGTTGCCTGAAGCTCCAAATAAAAAGAAGGCAGAGAGAATGAGCCTGACCTTCGGGCAGTGAGCAAAGTTCTTCAGCCCTTGTCCGTGAGTCACCCTGAAGTCTCCACCTCCAGAGACTCCAGACCTTCTGTCACTCCCCGAGAGGTCAAACTCTCTGGTTCTGCTCTTACAGGAACAAAAATAGCTTCTCCTGCCAGTGTTTTGTGCTGTGGCATCTTTCAGTCTAGTTTCAGAGTAAATATGGTTCTGTTTCCTGCTTCCTGAGGGCTGGCGCTAACATTTTCTAGTGTCAATAAGGAGTTTCAAAAATGTACTTTTTGACATTTTAAGATATTTGGGAAGACAGACGAATATCCTCAGTCCATTACCTTAATTTAACCTCTCCATTACATTTTTCTTAAGGACCTAAGAATAGATTTTAAATTATTACTATTAGTTTTTTACCTTTTTATTGAATTTGTCGGGGTGAGATCGGTTAATAAAATTATGTTGGTTTCTGGGTACGATTCTATAACACATCACCCGCACACTATATTGTGTGCTCACCTCCCCTAGTCTCCTTCCGTCACCGTCTGTCTCTGCTCCACCCTTCTCCCTCCCTCCGCCCCCTTTCCTTGTGGCAATCACCGTACTGCTGCCAGTGTCTGTAAGAGATTTTTGGCTTAATCTCTTCACCATTTTCACCCAACTTCCCAAGCCCCCTCCCCTCTGACGGCTATCAATCTGTTCCCCATCTATGAGTCTGTTTCTGTTTTGTTTTTTAGTTTATTTTGTTCATTAGGTAGGGAAAACGTTATGGTACTCGTCTTTTTCTGACTGGCTTGTTTCACTGAGCATAATGTTCTCTAGGTCTAGCCATGCTGTTGCAAAGGGTAAGATTTTGCTTTTTTATGGCTGACTAGTATTCTATTGCATAAATGTACCACAGCTTTTTCATCCACTTATCTCCTGATGGGCACTTGGGCTGCTTCCAAATCTTGGCTGTTGTAAATAATGCTGCAATGAGCACTGGGACACATATATTCTTTCAAATTAGTATTTCAGGTTTCTTTGGATATGTTCCCAGAAGTGGAATTGCTGGGTCATTATGCAGTTCCATTTTTAATTTTTTGAGGTAACTCCATACTGCTTTCCTTAGTGGCTGCACCAGTCTGCATTCCCACCAACATTGCAAAAAGAGTTCCCCTTTCTCTACATCATTACCAACACTTGCTGTTTGTTATTTATTGCTGATAGCCATCCGACAAGTGTGAGGTGTTATCTTATTGTGGTTTTCATTTGCATTTTTCTGATGACCAGTGACACTGAGCATCTTTTCATATGTCTACTGGTCATCTGTATGTCCTCTCTGGAGAGGTGTCTATTCAGGACCTTTGCCCATTTTTTACTTGGATTGCTTGTTTTTCTGGTATTGAATTTTATTAAGTTCTTTATAAATTCTGGATATTAACCCCTCATCAGATTATCATTGACAAATATGTTCTCCCATTCAGTGGGCTGTCTTTACATTTTGTTTATGGCTTCCTTTGCTGTGCAAAACTTTTTAGTTTGATGTAGTCCCATTTGTTTATTTTTTGTTTCCCTTGCCTGAGGAAATATATCAGAAAAAATATTGCCATGAGAAATATCTGAGATTTTACTGCCTATGTTTTCTTCTAGGATTTTTATGGTTTCAAGTTTAATGTATGTCTTTAATCCATTTGAAATTTATTTTTGTGTATGATATAAGCAGGTAGTCTAGTTTCATTTTTCTATACATATATGTCCAATTTTCCCAATACCATTTATTGAATAGACTATCTTAACCCCATTGTACGTTTTTGCCTCCTCTGTCAAATATTAATTGGCCATAAAGGTGTGGGTCTATTTCTGGGCTCTGTATTCCGTTCTATTGATCTATATGTCTGTTCTTATGCCAGTACCATATTGTTTTGATGATTGTGGCCTTGTAGCATAGTTTGATATCAGGTGGTATGATTCCTCTAACTTTGTTCTTTCTCAAGATTGCTATGGCTATTCGGGGTCTTTTGTAGCTCAATGTAAATTTTTGGAATAGTTGTTCTAGTTCTGTGAAATACAACATTGGTATCTTGATAGAAATCGCACTGAATCTATAGATCGCTTTGGGTAGTATGGACATTTTAATGATGTTTAATTGTTCCCATCCATGAACATGGTAGGTACTCCTACTTATTTGTATCTTCTTTTATTTCTTCAGTATCTTATAATATTCTGAGTAGAGGTCTTTTACATCCTTGGTTAAATTTATTCCTAGGTATTTTTTGATGTAATTATAAACATGTTATTTAGCCTCCATGTCTTGTGTGTGTTTTGCAGTTTTTTCCTGTGACTGGTTTATAGTTTCATACCATTGTGGTCAGAAAAGATGCTTGATAGGACTTAAATATTCTTAAGTTTGTTTTTTGGCCTAACATGTGGTCTATTCTAGAAAATGTTTCATGTACACTTGAAAAGAATATATATACTACTGCTTTGTATGAAATACTCTGAAGATATCAATTAAATCCATTTGATGTAATGTCATATAAGGTCACCGTTTCCTTGTTGATTTTGTGTGGGACACCTATCCACTGATGTCAATGGGGTGTCAGAATTCCGTACTGTGACTCATATCCATCAGGATTTGCTTTACACGTTTAGGTGTTTCTCTGTTGGTGTGGAAATGTGTGTGAGAGTTATGTCCTCTTGTTGGATTGCTCCCTTTGTCGTTGAGCTGTATCCTTTTTTGTCTTTTACTGTAGCCTTTGTTTTAACATCTGTTTTGTCAGATACAAGTATTGCTACCCCAGCTTTTTAAAAATTTCCATTTGTATGAAATGCCATTTTCTACCCCTTTACTTTTAGTCTGTGTGTGTCTCTCACTCTGAGGTGGGACTCCTGTGGACAATGTATATATGGGTTCCTGATGCATTCAGTGACCCTGTGTCTTTTGATAGGACCGTTTAAGCCATTTATACTTAAAGTGATTATCAATAGGTACAAATTCATTATCATTTTATTCTTTACAACTATGTTCCTCTGTCTTTGTAATTTGCATATCTGTAATGACAGGTAAAGGACACAGTGAGTCAATGGCAAGATGGGATTAAAACTGGGAATTTTATATTCTTGTGTTGAAATCATCATTTCCTGATAGAAGTAGAGAGATCTCCTTGCTACTCATGCAAGTAGGGTTTCTGAGCGGCCAGGGTCAAGCCTGCCTTTGAAGAAAAAGAATTAAGAATTAAAGAGAAGCTTCTGGGTTCCTTCCTCCAGGGGCTCCCCAGGCTACAGGCAGGACACAGGGCCCACAAAACAGCAAGCAACTCCTCAAAGCTGGGGCTTGTTCTCGGGAGACTTAAGCCACGTATCTGATGAGAACAATACTGGTATCAAAACTGTTTGGGCCCGTCATCCCAGGACTGCCTTAGGGTTCGTTCACTCATTAAACGTTTGTCACCACCTGGAGAGCTAATCCAGATTGTTCCGGCCCTTGGGGTCTCTGGACGGGGAGTGGCATCAAAGAACAAACTGATTCCTGCTGTGGGTATAATCAAATTTCCTCTAGGGATTTACATTGGGGATGTAGAAACCAGCCTCCACGTCTATTTTTTTCTATTGATATTTTCACTGTAGGGCTGAAAAAGAGACAATAGTCATTTCTCTCTGGGATTCAATTCACACACACACCCAGTCCCTATAACCTTACGCAGCCAGGAGGAATCAGGTGTCCAGCAGGACAAGGCTGCTTCTGGCTGTGCTATCCTTCTTTTCTCTGTAACACTATTGCTTCAGTTCTGGGTAAGCTATTATACACTCTTTTGCTCAGATACCACTAAAGCACAATTATTAAAAAATTTTTGAAACTTCCGACTTAAGTCCTGGGGGGAGGGGGGAGGCAGTTGGTTAGAGTGTCATCCAGATACACCAAGGTTCCGGGTTCCATCCCCAGTCAGGGCACACACAAGAATCAACCAGTGCATGCATAAGTAAGTGGAACAACAAATGATGTTTCTCTTGCTCTCTCCCCCTTCCTCTCTTTCAAATAAAAAATCAATACATAAAAATTAAAAAGGTAAAAAAACAAAACTTCCAACTTAGTTCTCATTCTTATGCTGTAAAGTAAAACTATGAATTGAAATGGAACTTGAACTGGAATCCAATAATACCAACAAATGCACCATTTTTACTGAGCCTTTTCTGGAGTTAAGAAATCAAGCTTGTCTAATAGTCTGCTCTACCAGATGTAAAGTTCATTTCCCCACCTTTCTTTTCAGTAGCCCTTCAAAGCAAGAGACAGTCATCTCCCGTGTACTCTGTCAAGAAGCAGATGCAAAAGTTCCAGCGCAGCGGCACGGGGCGGGGGCGGACGGAGTGTGTGAGGGGCACTCACCGGCTATGGCACCCGCCAACAGCAGGCTTCCCGGGCTGACCTGCCCGTCTTCGTTCGCGAAGGAAGCCTTCACATGAGCATAGCACGGGAAGTAGATGGCCGAGAAAGGAATGTCCCTCAGAAAGCATGCTTTGGCACCCTGTCCGTTTGAAAAGGAAGAAAAACCACATGAAACACATATCCCATTGAGAAGATCAAGCCTCTCTGGAACCTTCCTCAGAACAAAATATGCCTGGAGAAGACCAAATTGTACTCACAATTTAAAAGGGAAACAGAAAAAAAAATATCACCCAACTTCTGCAAGTAATAAATCTAAATGTTCCTTTTTAAAATAAAACTCATTTTATTGTGTGCCACAAGGAAGAAGGGGTAGTTCTTGTTTATTCTATTTTTTATTATTTGTTCATTTTATTTAATTTTTATTCTTTATGAATCTTTAAAAAAGATTTTTACTGTTATTCTATTAGAGTTGTCCCAGTTTTTCCCCTTTTGCCCTCCTCTGCCCATCCCACCCGTTTATTCTAAGAGTGAGCCTTCTATTAAAATGCTTTTGGAACTCCATCTTGACATCCTTTTAAATCCCTGCTGATCGCAGGTCACTGGCATTTCGAGGAGGATTTGTTCTCAGAAGATGGGCAACAACAGCCAAGGTACCCCTTTGTTTATATACTAGAAGGTAGAAAAATTATATAGGTGGCTGGGGGAGGCGTTTGTGTTTTTATATTTTTTGAGACTCTGATAAAAGTGTTGGACTATCACAAAAAAAAATTACACATATGTAAAGAATTACATACCTTTTCCAGGGGTTCATGGATCCCCTAATTTATTCAGGTACTTACTCCTATACCCGAGAATTTATGAAACATTAATAAATGCCCATCCTAAAACCTTCAAATATTTATAATTCATACACATTTACAATGAACAACTAGAGCAAATTCTTTACCAAAGAATTTTTGGTGCCAAAATGATGGCATGGGGAGGCCCTGAGAATCGATGTGAACCCAGAAATAAGATTAAACAGTTAATCACCCAAAGAAAACCATAAGACATATATTGTGCTTTACACAGACTAAATTGAAAGGAAGTCACCCTTTTTCAACACTTAGTGATTTAGTAGCATTTCTTTTACAGATTTCTAATACCTAGAGCTTTCCACCCCATTTAGAGGTTCTTCAAAGAAAATAACGACTCCATCCAGACTCAACAGATGCAGTCAAGCGCAGTGACATTTACTGAAGTCCAGTGATGTTGGATCTTGGGTATTTTTAACTGATGCTGGGCTCCAATCTGTCAAACTTCCTTAACACTACACACTTATTACTGTAGTCTTTGCTTTTCTGACACCTGCGTTACACTCCTGACTCAAACTGAGCTTGTGGGTAACAAAACCCTTAGTCTTTTTCATAGGAACTGCTATTAACTCAGGTCTCCTATAACTTAATTCATTGCCTTAAACAAGCAACATAAGTAAGACTTCATGTTTAATCCTATTAAACTTCATCCTAGTTTGGCCCATCCTTCCAACCAGAACAGATGCTTGGAATCCAGACCCTGTCAGGTTGCCTCTTCCTTGGTCAACTCGCCGACGGATGTGTTCAGATGTCTCTGTCCGCTTTGAGTACAGATACCCCAGGACCAGGAGAACGCCCACCAGGCACTGCTGATCAGTCCACACTTTTCCATCTTGTCTACTCCCAAACTGTTATGATGCCTAACTGAGAAGAGGAACCACAAAATTCACCACCTAATTTCTCATTGTATACATGTGCAAACCGAAGCCCAGGACAGTTAATCTAGCAATTGCATGTCTATTAAGGGCCATGCTGTTGGCTTGCTCAGGGGACAGCCTTGGAGGCAGTGCCAGAGGCAGGTTCAAAGTGGAGGGGGTATCCTGAGCTCTTTCCCTGTCCCCCAGCTTTTCAAGGGGAAAAAGTATAGGATATCAGCAATATCCATGGAGAGCATCCAATCTTTTCTCTATGATGAATTTTTTTAAAGTTATAATACAGGTAGTTACACTGTAAAGAGTAATACTGTCACCCACTTTTTTTCTCCACTTTCACATTCTTTTTTTTGACCTCCTTAGTTTGCCTCCAAATTCCTTATTCCAAATTGCCTCCTTATTCCTTATTTTGCCTCCAAATCTTTCTGTAAGTTCTGCTAGCTATTTGCCTACGTGCGACTCTGTCCAGGAGATAATTCAAATTAGACAGCAAGTAATCAACTCAAATTAAGATCAGTTAAATCTTCGTGTCTGGCTCCCTCCATATAGTACAAAACACTGCCGTGTTACTGGCTTTCTAAACAAATCACTTTGGAGTAATTTTTTAGGCTGATACAATTCCTTTTCCCACAAACCTTGCTTTTTACTAAATCCTTTAGTTTTCACTTTTAATCTCATCCCAAGTCTTGGCATTTTAGAGCCAAACTTCAGTTTATGTGCTCTGTTCATTGTTCTGCTGGTAGTACTTTCCCTGTTAAATGTTTTGCCGACTATAAAATATTAAGTACTTATCATAGATAATACAGAAAAGTGCTGGAAATTCAAACTGCTGCCATTTGGTTCCTGGTGACACTGATTTAGCTTTGCCAATTCAAACTTAAAAAATGACAACTAGGAGAAATGAGAGGCTTTGGGCTACCCTGTCAGCTTTCTGCAAGAAACACTAACTCATTTCTTGGAAAAATATACTAGAAACCAAAACCAATCCTTTTGTTTTTCAAACAAAGATATATAATTTGCTGAGGATACAACAAAGCTTCGGAGGAAGCAGTGGATAATTTTATGCTGGAATGTTAACATTTAAAAAGAGGGAGAGAAAGACAGCGATCAGCCCTTCTCGTGCTGTGTGGCTTCGCTGCCATCAGAAGGCCATGGGAAGCTGTGGTTTGGACACAGGGACATCCCTGGGACAGAGCAGGCAGGGGCAGGGCCCATGAAGAAGCAGCTGGGCTTTCCCAGGAAGGAACGCTCTCTCCTGCAATCAGGACAGTCGGTCAGGTACCCGTGACAACCAGCACCTAGTGATGGGTGAGACCCGCTTTAGGAGACGTTTGAAAACAGTCCCAGATGACTGAGAAGAAAAATGGCTTCATCAAAAATCAAATGGACAAACAGAAAAAGAATAAATCTAAAGAAAATGTGGAGCTGCACCGTGAAACACTAAAGGAAAAATGGATAGGAACATGTCCTTTTCCTACCAGGGATCAGACAACGCATAATAAAAATCAAATAATTTACACACACTGGAAGGAATGTTAAGACTACATAAGAGGTCTTAGGTTTCTGGTTATCTGAGAAAAAGGAAGAAAAGGACAAGTCAAGGCAGAAAAATAACATGTGGAGCAGCCGCCATCTCTGATCTACAGGGGCAGAGCTGCCTTGCTGGCAAGTGAAAACACAGAAAAACTCAAATTCCCCCTGATCCAGGTATGAAGGGCCGCTGGTACAAAACCCTCTCTTGTATCGCTGCGTATCAGGTGATGAGCCTTGGGAGGAAGAAAATTCTAAACCTCCTCACTTGTCAGAAATATGAAAGGCTGCCCTCTTTAGGGGTGCTGGGGGAGGAGGAAATAGGGGTTTAGGAATAAACGAGGTGATACTGTGAAAGCCTGGTGTGAAAGGCCAGCAGCAGTGCACATGTTCAGGGACAGTGGGGACAAGGAGGTCCTTCTCCCTGCCTCTCCCGGTGCCTGCATCCTTGCACAGCCCAGCACCTGCTCGCACCTCCAGGCAGCAAATCCCTGTCCCTGTCCAGAGTCAGCAGGTGCCCCAAGCCTCTCTCACACCCCAGGCATCAAAGCTCGATTCTCAAGCAAAGCTAGCTTTGCAGAAGATTGGAGAAAAAGGCACAGACTTATTAAATTTCCCTGGCCTCCTTTCCTCCCTACTTCCTTCAGGTCTGAGGCACAAAGGCAGGTGCCAATTTGTAGGGCCGCCCCAGGCAATACCTGACCTGTGGCTCCACACAATGAGAAGGAAAGCAGGATGTGAAAAAGGCTTTTAAAGTTCCAACAGTGAGAATGTCTCTCTCCCAGATTCCTTGATAAACCCTTCACTTTGTGGTGAACACCCATTCTCCAGCCCTACATCAAAACAGAAACCTGTTTGACTTGAATTCTCCTTGCCTGGTGTAGGGTTTTTACCAGGTGACCAGCCACTCTGAACAGGCAACTTTATAATAAAGGGAAACATTCCACACTGCCCAAGAACCTGCGTCAGCAACACAAAAATAATTACTTTGGCCATTAAAAAAATTAATAAGTTACAAAGTATGTGCCACGTAAAATAAATCTTGAAATGTTCTTGCCCCATAAGAAAGTCCCCATGCTTTCCTGCTGTAAGTCTTTCTCACTGACAGCCCAGTCTCAGACATTCTCTGCTTAGCCCTGAATTTCCTTTGTACACAGTAAAATCACTTGGGGGAAAATTAATAAATGCAAAATACAATCATCTGATCTCTTACTATTCATTAAAGCACTTTCTCCAAAGAGGAGAAATTATTGTTTTTCCCCCTTTAAATAAAGACCCACTAATAATAGACAGGAACAATAAAAGGCATCTCAGGGGAAACCTATCGGTAAAATAAACTAGAATCAAAACTCAGGTCTAGTTTAATTATCGATTCTGGCTGCATCCCAATCCCGTATCATTCTGAAGTTTCTCGTCATCATTCTATTTAAGGTCTAGGAAAGCTTCTTGAAGGGCAGACCTCACTTCAAGTTAATAGTCCACAATGAACACAGCCACTTAGGCTTACAGGTACTGGCCACAGCGTCACCATGGCAAAGGAATTATTTATTTTGCTTCTCATGTGTTTTTGGATGTGGACACTGTGTTAAAAGCCCAAGGGAGCTTTAATCAATTCTTAAGATGCTGGAATCATCCACTCAAGTTTACTCTGGCAGCCTTGTCTGGCATGAAACTGTCAAGAGAGATAACACAACAGGGTTTGTATCTTACACACACACACACACACACACACACATACATATGCGTGCACGTACTGCTATCTCCAAAGTCCTTTTTTCCCCCTTCTTTTAAAGCTCTTCATCATCTCGGTTGGTATCACACTTGCCCGATCAATTTAAGGGGAAAAGAACAGTCTTGAAGGATGGTTGCTGATAAAGAAGTCA